CCCAAATAACGCGAGATCGGTAGTATTGTCCTCTTTCGCAACGACGGTCAAGTAAACTGATTGTATGTATGTACCTATTCCAGACCCGAGTTCAGCTAATACCCAAAGCCCCTGTGTGGTGTGGCCATCATTCTTCGAGCTTGGCTTCACCGAAACCCATGCGGCACCTCTGCACGCACACTAGTAGAAGATAAAAGGAAGGGTTCATCAGTACCAATGGTGGTAATTTATGACCGGTCGAACACAGTGACGAAATCTCCGAAAGGGAGGATGGAGACTAGAGTCATGCCAGCTCAGGAAGCTCGGATCCGCAGTTGTTAGCATTTTTAAGAGCGACTTACCGAAGAGCATCCGAGCTGTTTACCCATCCGTGGTTGGCCTGAATACACTGCCGTACCCCCGGATATTATGTACGTACTCCTCCCCTGAACTTGAGGCAAATGTCGGAGCCGACATCGGTTTCTGGGACAAACATCCACATTGTGCGCACGGACCTTGTATAGGCCCCTTATGACGCTTTCAAGTATCGGTCCGTCCCCAGCCCCCAACTTTATCTGGATCCCCCGCTCTGTTCAAGACTCTTACCATTTCCCACTACCAATTTTTCTGATTGCTCCAGCTCAATTTGTTAGAAGCACTAACTATTACCATCTGTCATCTGCCTTGTGTCCCCTCCCCTGGTATTCGAAAGACGCACGCGCCTTCGAGCATGAGCTACCCTTCCGCACAATGAATAAACACTGGAATGACCGTGCCGATAAGGACCTGTTCTTTACTATATTAAACGTCAAGAACATAGGTGTCATTAGCGGTTCGGAATGGAAGACGATCGGTAGCCATTTGAGATGCCTTGGGTACGGCTTCACAAATGAAGGATGTCGGTATGTCCACTCATGTCATGTTCGCGTTTCTTTCTCACTTCACCGGCCCCTGGCCGTCTTATCGTCACGCCCCAACAGCCCAGCGTGTGAATCGTAGGGCGAGGGCGCGTCCTCCCAAGGCATTTCCTTCTCCATGCGATGATATCTCATCCTCCACAAGCATCTCAAGAGAGTACCAACTAATAGTACACAGTCAACATTTTCAGGGCCTTCGTCGCTCTCAGCAGAGATCCGAGGTCATTGGTCTGGCTGAACAGTTAAGGCTCGATCCGACTCAGAACCCCATCACCCGCCGCCCAGGCCCGGGCCGCGGGAGGCCTAAGAAACAGCAGCAACCGGCGAGTCAAAACTCTCCCGCTCTGCCTTCAAGACTTCCACTTCCTAGCACGATGCCGAATATTCCTCGGGGCCCCAACGGAACCCAAGTCACAAACACTCCCCAGGGTCCCAACCCTTTCCAGGTGTCCGGCGCTCCTCAGGGCTTCCACGCTCCCCAGGGCTTTCGCTCTCCCCAAGGCTTGCATCCCTCCCAGATATCCGGTGCTCCGCCGATCCTCCAGATATCCAATCCGGACTTGGGCCAGGGGTCCAATGTCTCTCAAGGCTCAAGGTGCCCTCGGGATTTAAGCGCCCCCCAGGTTTCAACCACTACACAAGATGCAACCACTGGCCAGAGCGCAACCCCCTCTCAAGATTCAGCCACTCTTCAGGGCTCAAACCCCCCACCAGATTCAACCTCTGCCCAGAGCTTAGTCCCGCCTCAAGGCCCAAACAACCCACAGGGTGCTAATATCCGCCAAGCGTCCTCGAGCGACATTCCACGATCGGGCTTGGGGTCCGTCTCAGGGCACAGGACCGAGCCTGCCACCGCACCCGCCCCAACTAACCCGCCGGGCAGGGACACCACCAATGGCCCCACCGTCGTACCCCACAGGTCGCCCGATGCATCGTCTCATGCTCCTCCTCACCAAACCGCTCCAGGCCCCGCGCCCGATAACGGCATTCCTCAGCCTCTCGCGAGTGAAGAGCCAGAAGAAGACCAACATGTCGCCAAACGACAGAAGCTGGCTCCGGCGGAGGACCATTCTCTAGATGACGAGGCCGTCTTGGCACTGGCGGCTCATGGCAACTCGCCGGCTGTGACATACCCCTCACCAACCGAGTACTCGCAGGCTGATGCAGACCACACTGGCGACCTAGGCGAATCTGACGCGAACCCATTTAACTATGGGGGAGCATAAGACTTTTGCCAGAATCATCGCTTCAATGCTAAACCTATTTTCTCGCCATTCTTATTTTTAGAGACAGAGGGACACTGGGCTCCTGGCATTCTGAGTTCTCTATCATGCCGCTTTGACTTTCTGCGTCTGTATCAATGGCACATGATTGGGAGGGATTATAATGATAACGTTTGGATGGGCTTTTTGTGATAGTGAGGGGGCTGAACCTTGAGGCGCCAATGGCAAATGCCCATAGTGTTTCAGCGGTTGAGACGACTTTCATCTTTATGTCGTGTTCAACAATGTCTGCAACAGCCACCTTTGTTCTACCATCATCAATCGCCCATCGTCTCTAGTATTTTCAGAAGCAGAGATACATCCTTTTATCCGTAGTTGAAGTCTCAAAGTGTTGCTGCGTCTATCACCTGCAATCTTTATTCATGGTACAGAAAACACCTGACCTGACATGTCTTACAAGAAATCTCATAGATGTCTTATATACACCTTTAGCTTGACTCTGGAGTTCACTGTTCAATCCCCGGGTATATTCCAACATACAGCATAGCAGGCCCAGTATGCTTCTGTCTTGAAATATGAGCCATATAGACGACCATTTATTTAGACAGTGTCCCAATTATTCATAGATCGATATACAAGGGTGTTTAGATCACCTAAACTAAGAGCAGTATAATGATCTTAGGCAATTGTCATCTGTATGCTTCATGTCATCCCAAGTCTGGCATACTGAGTTAGGAAATTCAAATCCTATAGCTACCTTACTTTGAGCACCGCATAAGCTACAATCCTTTCTATTCTTCCGTACTTGGACATCTCTGGCATCTACTGTGATAGATTGCTTCTATCATGCCTCCGGGATTTCCGTACTATCCCGAATAGCCAACTAGGCACAGTGAGTCAAGCCTTTTAAGTCTTCCTTCCTTCCTTCTTCCTTTCTTATTCGGATGCCTCCCTTCCTTGTTTCATAATAGAACCCAAGAGCCACTGTTCTAGGTCCTATGATTCTCCAGTCACACTCACCTGTTCTTCTATAATTCTCCAGTCATCCTTCACTCACCTGTTCTTCTACTTTTCTACTCTCCATCTCTTCTTATCACTAAGCAAAGAAGAACCTAAGCACAAATACAGGCATATCAGTGAATCAGAAAATCCAACAACATGGCATCTAGTCGGCAGACGATGAACTGGAATGCCCAGGTTCACGAAGATATCCTTTTAGCCATTTTCTCAACTGGTAAACTGAGCAGCACTCAGATTGCAGCTATCATGGCCCAGCTTGCAGAGAAGGGATATACCTTCACAGAGTCCGCACTTCGGTAGGTCACTTTCCTCTCACTTGTTGCTTCTCTGGCTTTCGGCCTCCTGCTCTCCCTCCGCCTTTGTTTTCTTCTTTATTCTGGAGGCAATCCCGCCCTTATATTCCCAAGCTGCACACCACCTCCTTCCTAACAGAATCCTCATTGTCTTCCCACTTCATATTGTTTTCTTTACCATTCTACACTCCAAAAGTGCAATTTACCCAAGATGCCCCCAAAGAACGCCAATACTACTGTCTGGGACGACAAAGCACGCTCAGATCTCCTTATTGCTGTTCTCAACACGGTCAAACCAACCAAGCAGCAATGGGATGAAATCGTCGCCAAAGTGGAAGCCAAGGGCTACCACTACACCCCAAATGCCGTGCAGTAATGCATCCTTTTACATTCCCCATGGCTCAACATTATGCCAGCTTTTGTTCCAATGCAGCACTCACTAACATGAAGCCCCTATCTCTCTGACAAGGCAACACTTGAACAAGCTTCAGAAAAAGATGGCCAATGGTGGAAGTGAGCAAAGCACCCCTACCACCCCTGCCAAGAAGCCTCGTGGAGGTAAAGGATCTACTCCTGCCTCGAAGCGTAAGGCCGCACTCAAGGCCGAGGACGGCGACGATTCGTCGGAGATGGAAACGCCGCTGAAGAAGAAAACTCGAAACAAGGCCCAGGCATTTATGTGAGTCAATCTGAGATGCCGTTGAGGCCACTCTCTTCTAACCGAACCAGGGGCGACGATGAAGACGAAGACAGCAAGTTCAAAGTTTGACCTGTCCTGTCATTTCCAATTCGTCAACACCCTCAACCTCCTGAAATTGGCTGCACTTAGTTGGGCTGATCAAGAGCCAAGAGCCACTTGAGGATTCGCAGGAAGGAATATGGCGATGACGGATATTGTATGGCATGAAGGACAGTCACAGCACTCTAGATACTTTGCTTCTTTCATTTTTCTTTCTCATCTGACAAGGATGACTCCATGCTTCGCAGCATAGCAGAACGGGGACGAACATTTCAGCTACAGGGCTCAAGCAAAGCTGCAAAACACTTTTGGGTGATCACATCATGACAAGAGAAATAACAGGGTCTCTCAAGACATTAGATTTCTTCCCAGTGACATGCTCCTCGTTGCTTGGTCTTTTACATACCTTGTTCCCATATGGCCTGTTTCTCTGATATTGAATATACCACGGCCACTGCACTCATGGCCCGGGCTATATTCCACCGAGTGATAATGATCTAGTGTAAAGACCTGCAACGGAACAATCTAGCATACAAGTCTAGGTAGTGTAGGTATGATTTAGGGGCCTTAAGCATTCCATTGACTCGGCCAAAGGTTCCATTGATATCGTCATCCGTATGATTCCGAATGTTTATGCATACATCGAAACCATCTCCGAGTCTCCGACACCTTCTGGTATTCAGACCAAGGCTTAGTTAGTTCACCTAATTAGGCTTCCAGTGTCTTTGAAACAGGTTAGACAAGTAACAACAGAATATGTTCCACATTCTCAATCTCATATTGCTTTATAGGTACTTGGCTTGTGCTTGCAAGCAAGCCCAAGTCAAAAGTGGACAAGGCCTCTGAGTTCAAGCAAGCCGGCCCCTAAGGTGTACGTTACAATCTAGACAGGCATGCATTGATTCACAATATCGCCGGTCCAAATTTTGTCCCGAGTATCATGTCTTCATAGATTAATGCTTTATGTAAAAGTTCAAAGGTTATAGAAACAGCAAGGATAACAGGTACGAGGTCATTACTGTCCCTACCCCTTTCCAGAAGTGAAGTCTAATAACCCCATGAGTCCTAACAAGTCGTCAGCTCAAATTCCCCAGTTGCGGCGGACCTTCCATACCACACTTATCTCTTGAGTTTTATATGAACAGGAGGAGAGCGCTACTTTCGGAGCGTTCTTTCCATACCGACCCTCTGAACCTCGAGATGTATCCCTCCACCCCAACATCTCATCCGACATCACAACCCCGAGTCTCAACCACAGCAGTCAAGTCTAAGTTGGCTTCGGCACCTGATATCATCTTCTACGGTAGTTCTCCCCTCCAGGCAAGTATTCTGTTTGCTTCTTCCAATTCATGGCATCCAACTTCCTCTCTACCATTGAACAACCGACTCCCTCCACGGCCAAGCATATCCAGTTCCTTCTTGCCTGGCCAAGAGTATGGAAGTGATATCCTCTCTTGTGACCAGAGCAGATGCTATGCCTTTCAAGAGTTGGTTCCAATCCTTATACACACTGCATTCATCGCTCGACGGTTAAAACATTCAGCTGAATCACTTGATTGTCGCTTTCAGTCTACTGAAGCGGTCTTCTCATCCCCAGTCCACCATTCGCGCCCTAGCAATCTACTATCTCACTTTCCACAGTATCAATGTGGCCGGTGTTAAGCCTAGTTTCCCCATTTAACCCTGACGGGATCCCTTCCGATTTCCTTTTCTTCATGTCTGTCTGGTTTCCATGCTCTCTATCGGTTTTTATCGATGCTTTGTGGGGGACCCTCATCACAATGTCTCCGACTCTGACAAAACATAACAGAACTTTCCGAATCGTCTAGCGAGATGGCTCCAACTGCTCGTGAGGAAAGCAGTGGCTGGAGCGTTCAGGCTGAGCGGGACGTCGCCCTGGCTGTCTTGACCAGCGAGTACCCCGAGGGCAAGAAGATAGACTGGTCCCGTGTGAAAGAGATGATGGATCAGAAAGGCTATGCCTTTACTCAAGGCGCCATGAGGTAAGTTGGGCCCTTTATGCAGACCTGGCCCTCATTTAGAACCCCAGGGCCGCTATTTTCTTTTTTTCTTCTTCTTATTTTTTTTTTCCTTTTCTTTCGTTTGGAGTCTCATGTTACAGCGAAACTGCCTTCTCGTCTCGCAGCCTGAGCTAATCCTTCTTTCTACCACTAGTCAGCGTTGGACCAAGAAGATTATGAAGCAGTGGCGCGCCGACGCGGATCTCCCCCAGAGTTCCCCTGTCCGCAAGCGCGGACGTGCTGCCGGCAGCGGCAATAAGAACGCTAGAAAGGAGACGACCGCGGCCGCTATGGATTCGGGCGACGACAACCACGCCTCGGACAGCGGTCCAAAGAAAGCTCCCCGAGCTAAACGCGTGAAGAAGCTCAAGACGACGAGAAACGACAGCCCTGACACCGACGGTACCATTGACGCTCCTACCTCGGCCGCAAAAGAACTGGGACGCACCCATGGGTCTGCCAAAGAGGTGACCAAGCTCGAGTCGGACTCGGAAGAGTAAGTGCGCCCAAAAAAAGCTCTCAGGAGTCAGCCCTGGGTTATCACTTCAGGGATGGCATATGAAACGGACTTCAAACTGATGTACATGACTAGGACGAAGCATCTCAAATATGAGATTTAGGGCGGAGTCTCCAGAGGTCAGACGAAGGAATAAGGTGAGCACTCAGAAGTTGGGCTCTATGTCGCCGTCGGGATGGATCTTGGTCACGGAGTAGACAAGAGTTAGCGTCATTCTGCCCTACCTCTGAACGGTCCACCACCTCCGTCATCGAGGACCGTATACGGATTTGCTTTCCACCGGCATATCTTCCCCTTAGATTTGAGCTTCTAGCACTCCGAATTCAACCCCCCAAAACGGTATACCAAGCCATGCAGAACCAATTTGGTAACTGTGACCGTTCAACCCATTGGGGACTCCCGTAAATCAAACCTCGTAACTCCTCCAATGAATTGCCAAGGAGGCATGAAATGACGTATACTGAATGCTGGGCAAGACGACTGAGATACTAGGAAGGGCTGCAGTAAAGAAAAAGAAAACCACGGCGTCGGGGAAAGGGTAAGTCAGCTGAGGATACAGCAGACCAGGTCTTAAAGCCGCCACCCTAGAGAGAAAGGCACGCAGAGCGCGGGGATAATGAGCCAGCATTGGGCATATTCTAAGCCGGCACCTAATGTTGGTGTGTGACCGTGTCTATTTGACCCCTTATCCCCTAATACAAAAGCCAATCCCTCAACGCCGTGGGTTTCATGACCGAGTAACACCAATTACCTGTCTCACTCTCCCAGAACATTGTCTGGATTTCATTTGCCGTCCAGTCTTCGTCCTTCGCTGGGGCTCTTCTTTCCGGGGGCTGGGGACTTGTTCTCCGAATCGCCTTTCCTCTTCACAGCGCCGCGGAGTGTCTGACCCTGCCCGGCAAAGTGCGGACGGTTCGCGTTCTCTTTCTCCCGCTCCTTGTCCTCTGCAGTCTTGACCGGCTTGATCTCGTAGCCTAAGAAAAGCTTGTTCGGGGGTAGGCGCAGTGGCATGGGACCGTTGGTCCTACGCGGGAGCGGAACTGAGGCAGGCGGGTTGGCTGAGACGCCCGACACGGGCGTCGCGGCTTGTGGCGTGGCCGTCTTACTTCCCTTCTGAGGCTTAAGCCGCTGGCCCTCTCCGTAGAAGTTGGAGATGGATGTCGTTGCTGATGGTGCTATGGCAGTATAGTTGATGGACTGCGCCATGGTCCCCTGGTTGTGAAGCAAGCCGCCCGCTGGAAGGTTGCCGCGACCGCTCCGCGGCGTGCTGGTGCCGCTACCACGAGGTTGCCGTTCTGGCTCGACATAGCCTACCGGCGGGCCAAAGTCGACTTCGACGTCCGTCTCAATCATGCTGACACCCATCTTCTCCGTTTCGGGTTTGACTTCCAACACGGCTACGTCGTAGATCTCGTCATTGTATTCGAAGTTGAAGACGTCTCCCTTGGTCAACGTGGCAAAGTTCCTGAACGCTTTCTCTAGCACGGCCTTGGGGTCGCTGATGTCAAGGAAGTTGACAGATTGCGGCTGAAGCTTCACATGTCGGGCGAGCTCGAGAGACGTGGTCTTGACCTGGATGAGGTCGCCAACATCGAGACCTAAGGTTTGCATCATCTGCTCGATCCTGTCAGCGACGGGTGCCGAGAACGATTGCAACCGGTAGGAAAGGAGCCCGGGAAGATGTCCGTATCACGCACCCAGTGTGGCAGGTAAGCTTTTCCCTCCTCAGCAACAAATTCTAGCACGCCAGCATGTGAGTGCTTCCCCTTTTCGCCATTTATGATTTCCATGAGCAGCGGCCACTGCACGTGCAGCTTTGAGACCTTGTCTAGAGCCGATGGAGGGAGAAAGATCTTGGAGCCGTAGTTGAGCTCAGGTCGCTCGGGGCCCGGGGCAAAAGCCATAGGATAGCATCGGTAGTATTCGTCGAAGCGCTGGACGACGGGCCTCCGGCCGCCTCGGGCGAACTGATACATGTCGCCTTCACTGGGGTCGAAGCGGAACTGGGAAATCCCGAGTCAGCAAGCGCCCAAGAGACGAGCAGGGCAAGGGCCCGTACCATGATGGCTAGCTAATCCGACGTCGTCGGTGTATCGGCAGCTGCAATGAGAGGTATTGACTGGAGCTACTCGTGCAGAGGAAAGAAGAGGGTCAAAACGGCTTTGCGTATCACACGTGTAGTGGTTTCCAGTGGTGAAGAGCCAGCATAACCAACTGGAGGTTTCTGGAGGGACTTGGAAGTAGTCAACATTGACAGGTGGAGAGGTGGAGAGGTGGAGAGGTGGACCTTTTGAGCAAGAGAGCGGTGGCAGCTTCACTGTTGTGGTTCGATAGGATGACGAAAGACTGCCCCAGCTTTTCCTAATTATGCATCAAGGTGACGTGGTGCCGGGTACAGTACGCTGTCTGGCTGTCTGTGTACATTATGTCACCGTTTGACTCGCGAAGGTTCCACTGTGTGCAGTGGAATGCAGAGTACTGAGATCACAATGAAAGTACCTGTACCTGCTGGAACGTTGAATGCCCCACCCCCCAAGAGGGGGCCTACATGACAGTGAAGCAATTTCGATGTCTAAATATAAGCTATGCATGGATACCTTGTGCTGCATCACCTCCGAAGCTTCCACATCTCCAAACAAGCCAGCCTCTCTGTTCAAGACAAAACAAATCTTTGACTTTTAACCGGATCTTCAAAGGAAAATACTTTAGCCCATGGCATCGCGGCTTTCAGCAGCGCGACCCAAGCGCGCAGGCGAGAACTTTGCTCGCACCCACCACCTCGATGATGATGACCGCGATTCTAAGAAAGCCAAATTCGACATTCGCAACCCTTCAGCCCTGGCCCCCGATGCACGGGAAGAGGACGAAATCTTAGATGCCGACGTTATTGGCACTGGTGCCGCCACCAAGCGAGGAGCTGTCAATCTCGATGGCTACGACAGCGACTCGGACGTCGAGACCTTCCACGAACGCGCCGAACAGCGGTCAAAGGGCAAGGGAGATCCGAACATCCTAGAACAACTTGACAACTATGACGCAACCGGCCGTGGTGCGAACGGAAAAGGCGGCACAGTCAACGAGGATGACGACGAAGACGACGACATGTTCGCTGGGGAGAAGGACGAAGGCGAACAACGCACAACTCCTCAGGAGGAGGACTCGCTCGCAGCACGGAAGAAGCGCAAGGAAGTCCGATTTCTCGAAGACGAACTCATTCAAGGCCAAGAAATGGAGAGCAAAAGCGGAGGACAAATAAGTCTGGACGACGCAGAAAGTAGCGATGATGAGCAAGACCTTGCACTGGCCATACAAGAGGAAGGCATAGACGAGGAGGTGGGACTGGGCGGCTTGAAGCGCAACGCTCCCAAGGTGGAGGCTTTCAATATGAAGGCCGAGCAGGAGGAGGGCCGCTTCGATGCCAACGGGAACTACATCCGGAAAGCTGTTGATCCGGACGCCGTGCACGACCGCTGGCTCGAAGGCGTCAGCAAGAAAGAGATGAAGAAAGCCGCTGAGGCCCACGAGCGGCGCGAGGCCGAGGCGCGACGCGCCCGTATGGCCGACGACTCGCTTGTCACGACGGATCTGCTGCGTACTCTCATCCTGCGGCTCGAGAAGACCGAGACACCGCTCGAGGCGTTGGCAAGGCTGGGCAAAGGGAAGGCAAAGCAAAAGAAGGTCCCCAAATGGAAGCTCAAGAAGCAGGCTAAGGGCGCGGAGAGCATGGACGTCGACCAAGAGCAGCAGCCGCCGCAAACAGACGCCGAACAAGCCAGGATCAAGGAGGCCATTGACATCATCACCGACGCCGCGGACAAGCTGCTGAGCCGAGACCATGCCGAGATCTATGACCAGGAGAGGGAGCTGCTCATTCGAGAGTGGCAACGCGAATCAGGCGAGGAGTGGTCAGAACCGCGACAGGAGAAGAGCGAGGCGGCAGAAGATGGCGGGTCGGCCGCTGCCACCACGATGTGGGAGTTTCGCTGGACGGACGGCCGAGACACCGCCGAGAAGCAAGGGCCTTTCGATACAGCCACGATGAAGGCCTGGCAAGATGCTGGCTACTTTGGAGAGGGCGTCGAGTTTCGAGCTGCCGGCGACGAAGGCGCCTGGACCCGCATCGGAAATTTCGATTGAAACTTTTGAATGCACAACTACTTGTGATCACCAAAGAAAAAAATGATCAAACCAAAGTTAACAATGGAGAAAAGGGGGGGCCGGGGAAGAAGGGAAGACGGCATCCCGATCCAAACGCTACAGGAGAAATTGGCAACAAGCGTTGCTTGTGACGTTCACCGTCTCTACCTAATTTTCATGATCCTACAGTGCAGGTCTCTATTCCTATCCCTGCGTACCAGTCCACGCCTATTTCAATACCCCCAAACGCCAAAACCAGACCAAGTCCAAGGAACACTTTCAGCTCACATCCATCGCCTCGCCGTGGCCGTTGGTCACAGTGAAATCGACGGCGCCGTCGTTACCTATCAACCTCTTTTCAGACTCGCTGACGAACTTGACGCTGCGGGTAGGGTCGTAGAACAACTGGAAACTGCGTTGCACGTCCGCGACACCGACTTCCTTGGCCTTCCGTTTGGCCGAGATGAGCTGCGACGTGGTGATCAAGTTGCTCGCGTAGCGGAGACCGGCCTCCTGGCCAATCTTGGTCAATAGGGCCATGGCATCGGGGGACACATCGACCTCTTCCTCCTGTGCCCGGATGGTGAGGATCTGTTGAATCTGATCCGAGGAGTATGGGTGGGTATGGATGATGACAACCCGGTCCAAGAAGTCGAGGGGGAGCCCGTGGGGGCTTCGGTAATCTGTGCCACGAATGCGGGAGTGGCCCCTGTTGCTTGCCATGATGACGATAGGAGCAAGGTCGTCCTCGAGAGCGCGGTTGATGTACGAGAATGACTCGATGTCGAGCATATGAACCTCATCAATGAATAGAACGCCGGGCACAATCTCGGCCTTGCCCTCCTCCTTCCACTCGCCCACCTTGGTATTGATCTGGTCTCTGATTTCGCTCCGAATTTCGCCCGTGTCGCCGGAAAAGAGGGCCAGGAACCCCTGCGTTCTCGAGTTGATGACGTCAATCTCGTGCAGGGAAACGGTGTGGACGATTTCTTTCCTCTTTTGCAATTCGCCGTCCGGGCACTGGAGGAATTTGGTGTCAACGCCCATGGCGTCGTAGTCACGGGAGCGAGCGTATGAACGGCCCAGCTTTGTGATCTTTCCAGACGACTTGTCGATGGAAATGATGTCTCCGGCCATGACACGCTCCTTGGTCATGGCATCAATCATCTTCGTGCCCATATCATACACGGCCTCCATGTCGGTGGTCTTGATGGTAAGCTTGCCCTGTTTGGCGCCGCCAGTAGCGCTGCGGTCGATCTGGATCTCCACCACCTCGCCCTCCATGATCTCACTCTCCTCCTTGATGCGCACACCGATGGATTTCCGGAACGCTTGGGTCAGGGCTTCCGTCTTGGACATTTCGAGAGAAAAGATTTCCGAAGCGGCGAGGCTGGTAAAGGGGACGTCGGGGCCCAGGGACTGGGCCATACCCATAGCAATCGCGGTTTTGCCGGTGCTTCACATGACATGCTTGTGTCAGCTGAAGACAATAAAAAAGGAAGCCTAAAGTGGGAGCTCTGATGTATGAAGACAGGCAATGCGTAGTCGGTGTGTATTTACCTAGGAGGCCCAGCAATGAGAACTGCGCGACCAGCGATTTTGCCTTCCCTGATCATTTGTAGAATCACAGCGGCCGCTTTCCTGGCCTTTTCCTGGCCTACAAGGCCCTGTGACGACGGGCGCGGTTCGAGAGATGTGCCATCTACTCCAAGACCTCGGATATGGGAATGCGCGGCGATGAGATTGAGCCCCCGGAGCTCTTTCGATTCGGAAACCGTCATTACAGGCTAACAAAGTGGCAATGCGTGAGCTCAATGGGGTGACCGCAGCTTACGGGTTTTCACAAGGTAGACTTACTGCAGCCATCTTAGTAGGTAATGTGTCTTGATTTTCCGTACCGTAGTGACTGATACTGATGGTTCCAAGGGATAATGGTTGAGCTTGATCGTGGGGCAGGAAAGGCTGATTGATGATGTAGGAGCTCCTTCGAATTAAAGAACTCGGCGGAAAGACGTGATAGAAAAAATGAGTGGAGTCTGGGCTGGTGTCAGTACCTTGTCGGTACGTACCTCCAGCACTGTCCGTACCCCCTGCCTTACACGTGGACAATCAGTCCTGACACCGCACGTCATTACAACGTTAGATACAGAAAGACGATAAACTTTGTATGGGCACACTATTCTGGTCATATATACTAAGGTTTGGAGGGAGGCACCTATTGTACGGTTTAATTGTGCCGCCAGAGTCTGTTGGCTATTATACTGAGATTACAGTTCAACACAGCGCCAAAAAGCTCGCACGATTTTGCTTTACACAGACTTCAGCGCCGCCTGGGAAGTCAGTGATTGCATCCTCTAAATGTGAAACTGCCACCATGATGTACGTAGAAGAGCGCATTTGCATTCAAAATCTTTAACTGGGCACACGAGTCCCATCCAGGGATACATTTAAAGTCGGCTATACTTACCTTACCTACCTACGCCGGAAGGGGGGGGGGAGAAGGGGGGGGGTTAGATCAGAGCTCGAGCACATAATTTTACTCTGACCCGAGCCAAGTCAGAGGTATAGCTGTCTACATAAAGGTGCAAGTCGTACGACAGTCTGACCAGTCATCGGGCTCTGGACAATAAACCCCTAATAGGAAGCATGATATTCAGTCCGTACCTTACCTTAGGTGCGCTGTGCTATGGCGTACAAAATAATATACCTCACCTTACCTTCCTTACCAAACCAAGAAGTACTCGCAATTATGTACCTACCTTAGTACGGAGAACCTGGGTGCTAATCGGCAACCTGCAGAGGACCCTGGGCTGTCAAGCTCTTTTTGCACCCTTCTTTATCACCACCCACACGCGACTAAATTTGAATACTCCTCCTTTCCTCTTTGTTTGTTTCATTTATCCCTCCACCGCCTCCTTATACGCACAATAAGCTTCTCTGGACTTCACACAGTGCATTGAGACTCGTTCAGTTTGCCTATAGTCAGCTCCGCTATCTTAAGCATGCCCATACGGGCGATAACTAGGTCGTCCGAGCTGGCTGCTGTCCGCAACCTTGACCGAGTTGCCATGGTGCTCATAATCACAGATTGAACATCTCCGGCTCCTACCCTGTTTGGTCTATACGACTTCCGTTTGTTATTTGCTTATTTTGGCTTCTTAGATACCCCTACTTCCTTCCCCCTCAACCGCGTTTTCCTTCAAAATTCCTCCATCGTACCTCCTCCATTGTCGTGTCTCTCGACCAGACTGCGAAACGCGTCGACGACGTGTAAAGTAACGTTCTGAGCGAAACCGATAGCTCCGCTGCAATCCAGCTGATTTAAAGTCTGCCTCGTCCGAGTGTCCATTTCAAGCTTTGCGCATCATGTCCAACAGAAGGCCAGAGACGGAACGCCGCCGCTCCTCCCAGTTTGATTTCTACAATCGACGGGATGGGGAAAGAGAGAATGACGATGACCGGAATCGAGACGATCGAGTAAGGAACACCAACCCTGACCGCCTACCACCACACAGACGGCCCTCTTCCGATGACCAAAATCACCCGGCTAGAGCTCCGAACAGCCGGACGTTGGATCCACCGCAAGGTAAGAACACTTCCTGCATACCTAGACATATCGCGGGGGGAGGGGGCGCGGGGGTGTTAAGTAAGAGGGCGAAGAAGCGTCTAACTGACCGAAAATTCTGACCAGCGCTACAACGCTCATCGACAGCACCCAGTGCGAGTAACACGAAATCGTCGACCAAGAGCTCGCTCGACAATAACACGATGAAATTCAACGAGGGACTACGCCCCGCAGTCAGTTTGCTCACGGCGCGAGTCGCTCTGAAGAGGAAGAAGGATGTTGTAGATCAGGAAATGGGGCGATTGAAGCGCGAGCGCGAGAAGACTGAGTCGAAATTTCTGGATTTCCCTTCCGTCCGTGACATGCACAACCGCCAGGCGGAGGAATTGCAGCAAAGAGCCCAAGACATAAAGAAGGAGCTGGACCTCAACTCGGATCGGCTGAATTCGAACATGCAATCATTCGCCTCGACTCTCCAGCAGTTCTGCTCGAATGCCGCTTCCAAGGCGCTGAAGAGTGGTCACACCAGCGCACACGATACCTCCGTGACTCTAAAACTCGAAGCTCTTGTCAACCGTATGTCCCAGCTAGAAAACCAACTCACCGAAGCGACGGACGAGATTCGGTTTCTCAAACAAGAGAACGAGACGCTGAAGTCTCGAGTAAATGAAGATTTCAGTACCATCCAACAAACTGTGGATGCTTTGACTGAGGGACACTCTGAACTTGACAAGAACATCAAAGATTTGAGAGCTGAAACGAGGAACATCCAAATGGGAGGCTCGAAATACTCTGGAGCCGACGCGCATATGCAGACGGAGCAGCTCACCAGGCTTGCAGGCAGGGTGGAGTACATTGAGACATCGCTTACTGAGCTTGATCCCGACTTTGTGCAGGCCGCCTGTCATGATTTCACCTTGAAGCTGCCCCAGGTCCAACAAGAGCTTGATACGCTGCGGGCTGAAATGGAGACCAACCTGACATCAGTTGACCAGGCAAGTGAGGCACAGGAGAGAATCATGGCCGACGTCAACTCACTACGGTCTGAAATGGTCACCAGAGGGCAGCTGCGGGAGGCTACTGAAAGGTTTCAATCGTCGCAGAGGAACATTGCCTCAACGATTGGGCGGAAAATGAACGAAATGCAAGAACATATTAACAAAATGAAAGAGCGCCTCCACCCACTGGAAAGCGATGGTGGCCTCCACAAGACAGAACCCGGAAAGCCGACGACTTGCGAGGGCGGAAGTGCACCGGATGGGAGCAAGCCAGACGCGAGCTGGAATAGCGAAGAAGCCCGGATTCAAGCGCTGGAGGCGGCTCGGGCGGCTCGAGCTGCTCAACAACGACATGGCACGCCCACGCCCACGCCCCCGCCCGCACCCACGTCCAAGCCCGCTCTTATTGTATCTACTTCGTCTCCGTCTATATCTACTGCATCTGAACTCGCTGCGGTGCGTGAGGAGATACGATCTCTCCAAGAGCAACGCAAGGCCCAGGACGAGACGTACATTTCTCAGGCCCGAATGGCCAAGGTTACGGCATCAACCGAGGAAGCCATACAGAAGCTATCGGCGCGAATCCAGGCCGTAGAAGAAGCCCAGAAAGCGGCAGAATGTTCGAACCGGGAGGAGCAGGAGAAGCATAATCTGCTAGGAAAGGTCGAATGGCTGGGGCGAAGGATGCAAGAGAACGACGTGGCGCGCAGCACCTACGAGCACACACAGGCTTCTATGCGGCAGGCGCTTAACACGCTAGAGGGCAAATATAGCAACCTTACGACGGAGGATCTAATGAAACAGATCATGGACCATACGCAGCCCCACCGGCCGGTCGTTAAAATGCTAGAGGCTCTTCAAGCGCGGGTATCCGTTCTAGAGAGAACGCTTAAGGATATCAACTCTCAGAACGCGGAACATACAGCCAAAAAGCGGAAGATAGACGCGCTTGATAGTTTGGAGGGAGAGAAGTAGAAGATAAAAGGGGACTCTACTATATATTCCTTGGGAGAGTTGTGTATAATATGGCTCTTATAAATACTATCGACCAACGTTAAAGCCTATAAGGCGTATACGAGTATAAATAATAATATACCTTACTAAGGGTAATTAAATAAATCAATAATATAATAAGTACTAAGTAGAGTCTATTAAAAGAGGTTTTATTTTAGAGAATTAGGATACAGAGCTTTAAACTTATACGATTAAAAGTCGTATATACTATATACTTAAATATATTCTAATTTTTCTATTTATTTTAAATTAAGTAAAAATATTCTTAAGCTTAGTATTATAGAAAGTTAACTAGTATAGAATATTTAAATATCTATTCTTAGTATAGGAGAGTCTATTTTTTATAAAAGTAATAATATCGTAATTTTTTCTAAGGTATAATAACATAATAAAGACTTAAACCTCCTCCCCTAAATCGCGGTTTAGGAGGATCGTTAAACTATAAGATACGCCAGTACGTATAGGTACCTTATACGTGCCTTCGGTCTTGCTATCCTCAGGTACCTTACCTTAGGTACAGTACGTTAGATTTCTACTGCCTTAGTACTAACCTGGAAGGTAATCAACAGGCGGGGTGATTGGAACCACAGGGCCCAAGTCTCGTCCGTCGTCGACTTTTCTTCGTCCCATCACAGTCCCATATCGAGAATCACAGTATCCTCCTACTTCTCTTGATGAGAGGATGCATACTCCGGACCATTTCAATCACCTTCACTTTTATCTCTACAACCCAATCTGTATCCAGACACTTCTCTAAGCTACTGTGCGTTCTTTCCCAACATTAGCGGATTTAACAGACGTTCTCTGGTGTCTGCTCGCCATCTTCGAAGCTTCGAAGACAATCATCGCAGCTACCTACACTGCCAACGCATGACATGACATGCTCTGTGGCCCTGTGGATCATAGCAGATCCGTCCAGTAATATTCTCCGTTCTCCCTGGCATCTCCAGTGTCGCGCCCCGTCACTGACCCATCCACCCACCGGGTCATCCATTCGGGTCTAGGCAAATCGTCTAGCGAGCGCCTTCTCGGGATAGCACCAGGCTCACCCAACACCGGACCGTGCGGCGGAGATGCGTAGTGGTTGTGATTCAACTTCATTACCTGCTGCATGCACTTCAAGACCCGCACGACCCTGCCCGGCACAATAGCACTCACTACCTTACACTTCACATACCAATTCCCACCTAGCTATCCATCTATCAGCCAGGGCTTGCTTATTCTTCGACTTTTGCGATTCCGAGCAAACAACGCAGACCGCCAGCACGCCCCCATCTACACATTCGCGTGTTGTCTTCCCCCTCAACCGCCACCGCCGCAGACGACAACGTCGATAGTACCAAACCTTCGTTTATCAACAACTCCTCACTACCTTAGTTTGGGAGGTAGACACTCTAAATATCGAGATTTTAAAACTTTATACCTCCACGAAAACGGCTATATCATTTACTCGTCGTGCCCAATAAACCTTTTTTTTTTTTTTTTTTTGCCTTCCGATTGTTTTCCTTTCTCTCTTTGTCGCGAGCAAACCGATCAACCACCAAGTTGACGAAGCCGAACCAAACGACGACGCTCGACTGCGGCGCCAAGTCGTGCACACATTTTACGCGACATTTCCTGCTCTTCACGTCGAGAAGAACTCGGCGAGTGCCCGTCGAACCGTCGTGTGCTCCCGGCTTGCTCTCCGCTGGCGTCGCGTCCCATCGCACTTCTCTCCCTGTCGCATCCCATCGCCTCATCACCCTCTCGTCCTGTCCCCCTGTTGTCAAGGTGGGCAACGCCGGAGAATCCAGCGCTCTTATTCTGTGGGCTAAGGAGAGGAGCTCTGTGCTCTTCTCCAATGCCCCCTTCTCTCGTTCCGTCGATTCAATCAGCCAATCCATCATTCATTCGTTCCCCCACCCTTTCACTATCTGGCGACGCACGCCACGACGCCCTTTGTTTTCGCGCCACGCCGCTCGAGCTGTTCCGGTAACGAATTCCGATTCGGCCTGCTGCGCCGACCGTTTCCTCGTCGCGGTTTCCTGCTTCCTGTCAATTTGCAGCCTCCCGTGGTCTTCACAACGCTCCGCAAATCCCGTGTCGCGTCCTCCCATGCTACGGGGCATGCCATCACCGTTAAACCATGGATGCCGCCGTCAAATCCATTCAGTACTTGACCCAGAATCTTTTGCCCGACCGGCCATATCATCTCTCCAAGCGCCCGGACAAACGCTATCGCGTTCCTCCAGACAACACCAAGTTCATCGAGGAGCGCGAGTGTCAGCCCCTCCAGTACATGACCTTGCTGAACGCTGACCGCGGTCTCCTCTTCACCCGACCCTACTACGACATGCGCGAAGAGCCACCAACTCCCAACCCTGCGAAGGAGGCTGGTGTGAGGATGGAGAAGAAGGCCGTTACCAAGCTGTCTTTGAGCGACTACAAAAACAAGCAGAGGAAGGCTGCCGAGTCGCCGTTAGATTCTGGGTTCCCAGTCAAACCGGTAGTGGTTCGGAAAGATGGACCCGGTGGAAAGACCGGCAAGGATGTCAGCAAAGTCGACGGTGACAAAATCGATCATCGCGATACGTCAAGAGACGCCAACGCGATGAGGCCCCGCGATGGCCCGAATGACGAGATGTTTGTTTTTTCCGTCGTCCCACCTCCATCAGCATTGTAGTTGAGCCACCCAGCTAATACGATGGATCATCCACAGACACAACTCCGCCGATGCGAGACCGAAAGCGAATATAGAAGCCAGAGATACCCCAGAAAAAAGAAACCGGGCAGACGATTCAGATGAGATTCAGAGGGCACAAAAGAGACTCAGACCTGAAGCGAATATTGGGCCTTCCGAAGATAGATCACGGACATCCCGGAATGATCCATTGAAGAAGAAAGAACCGCAGCCGCAGAAAGATCGGGCAGCATATAAAGACCCGAAGCCCCCCACTTCATCTCTACCCAACGGGCGAGCCATCTCCAAAGACTCAGTTCGTTCGCGCGCAGAAACACCGCCGACCCGCGCTCGAGGCGAATCGATTAACGGCGCTCGGCCCAGCCCTTCCGCGCCACCAAAAGGCACTCCTCTCAAAAACGACCAGCAATCATCCAGGACGACGGTGCCGCCGCTTCTTTCTCCTCTCCACTTCCCCATGGGAAGTTCGCAGGAGCGACCGAAGGAGAAGAGGGGGAAGGAAGAGGAAGGCGACCTATCCAAGTCGGTGAAGACGGCCAAAACATCCCTGGCCAAACCTGCCAGGAGAGAGAAATCTCCTGTGAAAATCCCCCCACTCTTGTCTCCAACATTACCGCCTGCTCTTGAGGAAGAGCTTGCGCGGATAATAAAGACAGGACCTGCGAAAACCGTCGCATCGGCACAACCATTAGACTCGGCTGGCAACATTCGAAAGTTGAAGCCGCTCAAGCAAGAAGATGATAATGAGAAGGTCGAGAAACCCAAAATAGTGAACAGAGACAGAGAGAAAGACGGTACGCGCCGCTTCATTGTTACATTGAAGTGCGGCAGGAAGCATTCGAAAACCCTCAAGCGCCTCCTGGCCCTTCCACCCCCAAAGAAAGAGCGCTCGGCTAGTCTTGGGGCGGCTCCCCCGCAAGCTGTAGCCAAAAAACGGCCAGTCAGCGGAACGGAGTTGGTGGGGGACTCTATCGCAGTCAAGAGACCAAGGACCTCCGACATGGCTTCTTCGTGGAAGCTTGCGGCCCCCTCGACACCGCCCAAAGCCGCCGGTACCTCCATGTCCCGCGTCGCGTCAACCAGCTCCCAGGTGCCCACCCCTGGCGACATGCACCACAGCGCTACCCCCGGCGGCGATCGGCTGCCCTCCAGGCACGAAAGTCGGGAACCGGTCGACCCTTCACGAATTCGGCAGCTGCGCGACCGTCACGAGCGGTACAAGGAGCTGGGTGGCAAGCTGAAGCACAAACGAGATGCGCTCTTCCCGGCAAAGACAAACAACCGCGGCCGACCGCCGCCCCTCTCCGACCACGACCACAAGCTCAGCATCGCGCTCTGCCTCGAGAGCGCCATGGCCTATATGGTGTCGTTCCGCGCCGTCTTCGATTCCCGTCGCCACGAGAACAAGGCCCAGAACCCGAACCAGTGGGAGACGATTCTCCCCCTGCTCGACATGATCCGCCATGACGTGAGCGAAGGCCGCCACCGAGCACTGGACGCGCTCCAGCTCCAGCTCAGGGGCGTTATCCTCGAGGAGCTCATCAAGTGCTACTGGTCGCTCGACCCGGCCAGCCACGCCATCCGCATCATCTACTTCGAACGCCTGCGCTCTTCGGTATGGAAGGCCGCCGCGGAGGCTTCCGGTCTGGTCGACGAACAACGTATGCGCGCTAACTTTGGCCCGTGGACCGGGGCCGAGGAGGCCGTCGGGCTGGGGTTGCGGATCGTCAGGAGATGGGCCAACGAACAAAACCTCGATTGGAGCCCCGAGCTCAGCTTGCAGGCCAATGGAACTTAGGGAAGGTCCTATAGCCTGCGAGCTAGACCGTCGGCTTCTTGTCGCCACTAGGCTACCTCTATCGCAGCAATGGCTCCGTGGGCCGAACGGCGGGAGGAAGGCCAGGTTCAGCGGAGGACGCGCTGGCAGAGACGCGCTGACGAAGACCCTCACACCACCTCTTGTGTAATCCATCCATGTATTATGATTTTGTCCTATTTCATTCACCATCTCGGACCGGTTTGACGGCGAACGGCACGGCGCAGAAGAGCACAACACGACACCGCCTAGCGAACGCGATACGAACAAGATGAAGACACAACTGTACGAAAAGGCGTTTCTACGGATATATCCCACGGCTTTCCCGGTTTCCCGTTCTTTCTTTCCGAGACATCGTCACCCTCGTCACCACCACCTACGACTGAGGCGAGGTCTGGGAGGAGGAGAGCGTGTTCCTCTCGTCGAGTCTGAGAAAATGAAAGGAAGGACACCTGGAAGGGCCTGGCGTGGAGAACAACGGCGGGGGAATCCCCCCAGAGCACGTTGCCATACGCCATCCGGGAAACCGGCATTCGGCCACACATTATGGGGCAATGATATCAACTGGCGTTTTGAGAAGGGATGGTGGAATTCCTTATTATTATCATTATTATTGTCCTCTTCTCTTTCTTGTCCTTCCTATACTTTTCTCTTTCCTCCGTGTCGCTGTCTCTATTCCCCTTTCGCGATGATATCCCATTTGCTGAGGTCATGGAAAAAGTCACCATGCTGTTTACACTTTCGTCTTCCTCGTTTTGTTCTTTCCTCACCTTGCGGTTATTTTGTCTGTGGATTCCCCGAGTTGTAGACCCGGGAATACCTGGAGGGATGGGCCAGCGGGGGACTTGTTGGACGGGTTCCAATGGAGGTACCCGGGCAGCGGAATGGCAAAGCGTCAACCCAAGGGCAAAGGCGGGCGTGGTTCGCGGTTACGGGCTGCGGAGCTCAGAAATATGGTGTCCGAGTAGGTGCAGGTTGGACTCCCAATTTAGGTAGTCAGTCGATCGCAGAACCGAAACAATTTTGACGCCAACCGAGCAAGGTCACACTTAAGGCGCATCGAGTGAAAGGAAGGGTGTAGCGAAGAACATCAGGCTCGTTATTGCCCTGGCAAACCTGCTCTCTGAGCCCCGTACTCCATTCGCATATTGGGGGTTTGACATCACACCTAAAAGAGTCACGCATCTGTGTCGATCCGGGCTTTTACTTCATTTCATGTATTATTATCAGCCTCATTGCTTTGTCCAAGGTTATGATTTGGCCTTGGCCTTTTTCTTCCCCCTTCCTCCCAGCACAACTGAGTTTGTTGACTGACTTTTCACATCGCCATCCGTTGAAAGTATGACAAGATGCATTTACTTGGAGGCATCGACCTTGGAGATGTAGGCCAGAAGGTCGAGGACACGGCGGGAGTAGCCCCACTCGTTGTCGTACCAGGAGACGACCTTGACGAAGTTGTTGTTGAGGGAGATACCGGCCTTGGCGTCGAAGATGGAAGAAGCGGGGTTGCCGAGAAGATCAGAAGAAACAACATCGTCCTCGGTGTAGGCGAGAATGCCTGCGTCATGGTCAGCAAGGTTACAGATTGAGCATCTTAAGCATGTAATGATGACTTACCCTTAAGGGGACCGTCGGCAGCCTCCTTGATAGCAGCCTTGATCTCGTCGTAGGTGGCGCCCTTCTCGAGACGGACGGTCAAGTCGACAACGGAGACGTTGGAAGTAGGAACGCGCATGGACATGCCGGTCAGTTTGCCGTTGAGGGCGGGAATAACCTTGCCGACAGCCTTGGCAGCACCCGTGCTGCTGGGGATGATGTTCTGAGCAGCAGTACGGCCACCACGCCAGTCCTTGGCGGAGGGACCATCGACGGTCTTCTGGGTAGCAGTATAGGCATGGACGGTGGTCATGAGACCCTCAACGATGGTGAACTTGTCGTTGAGAACCTTGGCGAGGGGAGCCAGGCAGTTGGTGGTGCAAGAGGCGTTGGAGATGACATCGGCACTGCCATCGTAGGTCTCCTCGTTGACACCCATCACATACATGGGGGCATCAGCGGAGGGGGCGGAGATGACGACCTTCTTGGCACCACCAGCCAAGTGAGCCTTGGCCTTATCGGTGGTAGTGAAAACGCCGGTAGACTCGACGATGTACTCGGCGCCGGTCTCGCTCCAGGGGATATTGGTGGGATCCCGCTCCTGGTAGAACTTAACGGGCTTGCCGTTCACGGAGAGGCTGGTGCCATCCTCGGTGATTTCACCCTTGAAGGTGCCGTGGGTAGAGTCGTACTTGAGCATGTAGGCCTATTACAGGGGGATTAGCTTAGCCCGGCCCTTCACAAACAGACTGGCTTCGTCTAATTTCAATTTCCAGGAGCGATTTTTGGAGGAAATTCGGGAAGGGGGTCGATGCAAAATGAAAAGTGAGTGTGAAGACACATAGTTAAACGGTGGGAATACTGCTCATGAGAGATCTGTCTATCCCATAGCTCCATACAGGGAGGTTGACTTACAGCATACTTGGTCTCGATGAAGGGGTCGTTGACGGCAACGATCTCGACATCGGGGTGCTCGACAGCATTCCGGAGGACAATGCGGCCGATACGGCCGAAGCCGTTAATGCCAACCTTGATGGGGGCCATTGTGGTATGTATGAGAGATGAGAGTTGGTCTGGAGCGTATGGTGGAAAAATTAGCAAGTTGGTCGCCGTCAAGAAAGAGCTCAGTAGGGGAAAGAAAGTTGGGATTCCGTTGGGATTGTCGTTTGGAAAAACAAGGGGAAAGAGATTGTTCGAGAAGGAGGGGTCGACAGTTATCGACTTTCTAGTGATGGTCTGATGGTAGTGGCTGGTAGCGGGGTTTTTACTCGGGTTGAGAGGAGAAAAAGGCAAAGGCTAAAGGTATAGGAAAAGGGGGGGAAGCTTCGAATGGAGGGGTAAAAGAAGGTTATTGTTCGTCGAGATGAAAACAAGCTTAAAACTAGTACTGACCTGGAGACGATGGTTTGGATCACGACAATGTAGGGAGTGTGTCTTCGTGTATGTGAAGGTGGAAGAGTGAAGAGTAGGTGAAATATCTCGCCAGAGGAAAAGGAAGAAGGTAGGGTAGCTCTCTTTATTAGGTGACTCAAGCGGACGTCCGTTGCCTCCTGAGGTATGTGACGGGCAAGACCGGGGTGTGGAAGGAGGGGTCGGTACCTAGATGAGTACCAATGCACTTACCTTGCTAGCTGGGGTACGAAAAGTACTCTGTAATTACGCTGTACATACGACTTTGGAGTTAGAATTACGTAGAAGATAAGTGGAGAGAGCCTGTGTCTACCTTAGCAAAGACGGCAGGTTGTTGGATGGAACGGGCTTGGGAGGAGGCTAAACCCGATTACAATTGCGATGGGAAGGGGAGGGAGGGGCTGAGGGCCCTTGGGGGGGCGTGGATTGATGAGTGGGCAAGGATAAGCGCAGGTCCAACATTTGGGGGGTGGGAGGGATGGATGATGGAGGGGGTTGAAAAGGAAGGGCTCGGAGTGAGTTCGGAGGCGCGTGGTGAAATCTACCGATGAAACGTCACAATAACGCAGGTCTGAGAAGTCCCTCGCGCGCATACGGAGTAATACCTTATATTCGTATTTCTTCGATTACCTAGGTAGGTACTTATATGGACCTCGAAGGGCGCAGATTGCACCTGGGCCACCTGAGAACCAAACATTTTGCTTCCTTAAGACAGACAGCAGCTTGTCATACCTTAGCTACGGTACCTTACAAGTAGTTATGGCCTGAGTCGTGACTTGAAAATCGCGTCGACGAAGGAACACACGAACAGCAGTAAAGACCCATCTGCCAACCCATGCCTCATCGTCTGCCATGCTTTTCCAGCGTCGCGCATTAAACTCCTTGGCGGGTTCCTTTTGCCGAGAATTATTGAGTATACTATTGTGGTGATTCTGTTTTCCGCGATTCGGCAGTAGCTAAGATTAGTCCTAACAATACTTCCATAGCTAAAGCTAGGTGCTGACACGATACGATAGAGGACCCGGTCAACTCCATCACAGGTATAAAGACGATACAATTCGCGCAATTCTTCCTTTTGCATACGGAGGAAAACAATAATAACAATATACATAAGGAGAAGAAAAAAACTTAAAGACGCAAAAGCGTTACCTTGGAGGCATCCTCCTTTGTTATTAATACTTGAGCGCGCGATAAAAAATCATTCCGGTCTCGGGTTAATACTAGTAGCTTCGTACCTGAAGATGAATGGCCAGGCCGGTCTCTTCGACCTAGATTTTTCTGTATGGAGGTACCGTTAAATGGAACCAAAGAGAAGGAATGATAAGAAGAAAAATGCCTCCTGCACCAGGAAGGAGCTGCGGGCCGTTAGTAGGCTGACGAGGTCAGGTCAACCACTCTGCCTTCCAAGCAAACATCGAGTCCATTGACTGTGCCATTCGGTGTTTGTCATGGCAGATTGTTGTCATCCAAGGATTTGAACGGGCAATTGCCATCTACTAATTGTCGACTTTCTTTTTTTGTAATTGCTTTTACGCGTTGTTTCTCTCGATATGCCGTGGTCGTGCTAATTGGGTGTTAATAAAATAAGCAAGGAGGGGTAGATTATGTGTTCGTTGCCCCTCTGATCCTGTTGCCCCTCGCTACCCCTCCAGCTTAAGAAAAAAAAAAAACCAAGGGAGGGAAAAAAGAAAAAAGAATTTCGACACGACCCCCCACCTTGTACGCAACAAAGCTACCCCTCCCTATGTGGTCATGGCGATCTGAGATGGCTGACATCATCAATGCCCGGGGCTCCAATCCCTCTTACATAATCACACATCGCCCACTCATCCTATCCCACTTCCCCAGACTACAGGGTGTCAAACTGTCACACTCTGAATCCCAGATTGAACATCGTGACCTCCATACCTTACGCCGTTTTCCTCCCATTACCGAGGTCCTGTAGCACGCGACGTCCCAACGCTATCAGCTTACCCCACAAACGTCGGCGCAAACAATCTAGCCCCGTGGGAATCTTCGGGATCTTTGGGACATTATGTAGTCCCCTACTTCCTTCCTCCTGTCCGCAATCGTTTCCATTCTCCGACGTACATACCCCATGCCCACCCACAAGGCTGGGTTAACCCGGTCTCATATGCATAGCTGCATTCCTTTCCGCTACCCCTACCCGTCCTGATGCACTCGATCCTCGTCTCTACACTACCGAGCTGCGTCTAGTCCGCCTGCCAGGACGATCTTGTGTCCGGTCCTGCGGTACTGCTGCCCGAGTGGGGCCCAGCGCCGGAGCATCACGGCTCTTCGGTTCCTTTCCTTGCCCGGTTCTGTATCTTCTCCCCTTTTCTTTCCTTGGGAGCGAACTTCTCCGATCCCAAGAACCTGTCACGAATCCGCCTACCCTAGGCCATCATCCCCGCCTTTACCCGTCTCTTGCCGGCCCGGGCCCTTTGCCATCCCCTATTCTACAGCTTCAGTGTACACGCCCATCTCCGACTTCATCCGAGCACACCGAGTTGTCCCGAGGGAGCTTCCCTCCTCTAAACCCATTCATGGCATGAATACAGGCCTTCGAGGTCACACGATATATCCTTTGTAATGCGTGACGCAATAGTTCTGGGTCTTGTTTTGCCCATGTTGAATTCTCATCGTCAAGTGGCCTCACCGTTGAATTCCAGCAGTCAAATCCGGTCCGTTACGTAACCGTAAAAACTACGGTCTGTTCAACAAGCGGACCCTTTCGTGGGCCAACCCTGTCCAAACGTCTCCTGTCTCTAATCGCTGGTCTTGGGCCATAACAGCGTGCGATTCTTCAGAGATCTGAGCATGGTGACGAAGACAATGGCCCAAACGAACACCAAGCATGCCGTCTTGACCGCAGTTAGGACTTTCAGACCGTCGTTGTCAAAGACCGAGCCCATGGCCGCTGTTGCCGCGGCCAAGGCCGTATTGGGGAAGACGAACGACCACCAAGTCATCATGAAAGGCATCTTCCGGTCGGGCTTGACGTACTTCCATAGGGATCCGACGGACACCATGAAAAACCACAAGGCAACACCCCATAGCCAAACCCCTACCAGTAGAGACATGATCCGCACAATAGGAACAGCCTGCTCGGCGCCCATGAAGTTTTGGGGAATGATCACGTCCGCGTGGTTGCCCAGTTGCACTAAGAACTGGTCAGCTCAAAATTTAGCCTTGGGGCGCTTGTCGTATACACCTACCAATGCCTGTCATAGTGAAAGCATAGGGACCAATCGAGATGAACTATAGGTAGTGCATGTTAGGCACAGTACGTCGGCGAGGTATTGATCTGGAACACATACTACACCGGGTCTCTGAGCGTCTGTAGGAAGCTTCTGGGTCATCAGCCGATAAATGAAGGCGGACGATATCATGAGAGCGATAAGGAAGCCGGTTCCTTGTACCGCGAGGGCTGCAAGTGCTACTGCAATCGGGCTGGAGAGCTCTTGATTAGATGTAACGGCAGCGGCGACGAGGTTGGCCGCAAACGGGCCGTTCAAGAGCAAGGGGTACGCCGGGAACACCCAGACGGGAGTCATGGTGTGAATTGGGAATTTCCTACAAATTATCAGTTTTTTGTTTTTAGGTTTTTTTTTCTTTTTCGGAGCCGCAATCAGATAATGGGAGGTGCTTACAAGCTGGACCAGAGGATTAGGTAAATGACTGCGCTGGCTATCACGCTGAGAGCCATATTGATCCAGAACATGACCTCCATGGTCTGGAGCAACCAGGGCCCCACGCGAGGCACCCCATACTGGCAGCTGTTTATGAGAATCATAGAAATCCTGGCATGACATTAGACCGAGGATGACGCCTTGAAGACCGGGCCCATACTCACGATACGAACTAGGTGGTTGTCAAAAGGATGCCATGTGATGCGTGCTGGAATATGTTCAACTTACGAAGGATGGAATGAAAAGAGACTCTGTCTGGTCTGTAAATGAGTCCATGAAAGAGCCAGGCTGCAGGCAAAAGCGAATAGTTATGAGAGCACAGTTGAGAATAAATAGAAAGATATTGAAGAGGAAGAAGGCTAAGCCGATGCCATCAAGCCAGTCGGTCCGGTACGACACTGGATGGGAAGTCAGATCGGAGAAGAGAAAGGCACATGGTAAGAGATGGAAGAACTCACAAACGTATATCACGTTTGCAACACCGCCGGTCGCCTATAACAAGATTCCAGGGTAAGCCTCAAAAGCCAATATTCATTCGCTCGTCTGGATGGACGCCTACCATGGTCTAGACGGGTTAGCGAGTCACACCAACGGTGATGGAGGAGGAAAACGCGGAAACATACCATGGTGAACCATGTCCACTGGTAACAGGCAATGCGATCCCGAATGGAGACTTTGGCATTTGAAGGCGCTTCTCCTTCGCCGGAAAACGAATGGGCAAGACTGGAACTAGCCGCAGTTTGTGACTCCCCGTCCGCCTGACGGCTCGGGCTGCCTCCCGATGCTCTCGACTGAGGGTGCGTGAGACAGGAGCGCCGAGAAAAGAAACCCGGGCGGTTGGCGCCTCTATCAGAAGCGAGCGGAGCTGACTGCGCGTTGTCGGGGAAGTAAGAGGTGAAGAAAGGCGGCTGGCTGTTCTCGGTAGGAGATTCGTATCCAGAGTTCGTCACGTCCGGTGCCATTTGGGAACTGGAGGGGGCCATATCGGACTTGGCGAATCGAGATCTTCTGGCCGGCTGGCAAAGAGTTTCGAGAGAAGATAAAGGGGAAGTAAAAGGCTAGGCTCGGCATTCGTGAAGAAGATGCAGATGTACACTAGGTGGGTTAAGAAGACGACGTGATTCAGAAACAGCGATCCAAGGTCCGCCAGCGGCATGTTAGAGGCCCTCCCTTCCGGGATTTCGTGGAAGCCAGAGCCTCAGTGATGCCCGCTGCGAATGTTGACAGTTGACACCACGATCACCGAGTCCAGGTGTGAGGCGGCAGGCCGGGTGGTCCAGTCGAGTCGGTTAGGTGATGAAGTTTGAAGTTCGGTCAAGGAAAGAACTCCGGAATCAGTCGAGTGTACGATTCCAATCCGATAATATACTGAAAATCACTAGGCAGACAGTCAGCAGGGACGTTTAGGCGTTCATGGAGATGCATCTTGATGATGAATACCTTCGCTTGTGTCCGTAGACAGTGATTCATCTAACCACAGCCTGAAAGAGTAAGAGACAAGTACGGCTGTGAGCTGGAGGCATGGAATATATTAGGTGTAATTCAGCAGAACCGAATGCTAACGATTTGCGTTGGGAAGAAGGCTATGAAGACCCTAGGCGGAGGAGAAATCTCAGGGATGAGGTCACACCGTGTTTTTTGGGCTTCAGTTGGGATAATAAAAGACATGCACTGTTCTTTTATTTCCGGGCTTTAACCAGATGCGCCGTATCGCCTAGAAAGTGGATAGGTATGCCCCTTTTCTTACCTTATCTTGGCTGATGCGTGGATAATAATGGTACGTACATCAGGTTTCCAAGGCGTTGAGAGCCACTATCAAGTCGAGGTGTCGACTGTTGAAACCCGAAAACTCGACCAGAGGGCTAAAAGGTAGGCCTCCCCTACTTTCTGATAGTCCACTTTTCGCAGCCTGAATTTCTTTATCCCCCTGGATCGCATTGTACGCGTTTCAATTGGCGATTAAGGCATGGCTCACAAACATGGAGTGCTTCCCCTTAAGGTCACCTACTTCGTTCGTACTTGCTCATCACCCAGGTTATAAGTAACGCCCACGGAGTAAAGTATCCATTGTGTTGGATGTTCCAGAAATTCGGCTCTATTATATCTAATTCATTCATGTTTTTTTCTTTCCTGGCCTTTCCTGATCTTTCCTGATCTTTCCTGATCTTTATATACAAAATACATTCAAATAATCACGAATGTGGTCTTATGATGCCTTCTGGAGACTGGTATGGAACGAGCGAATGATGCTGTCGGTGTCATCGATAGCCAGGGGCCGGATGTCGGCCAATTGCTTGATCTTGGCAGTTCTGTATCGTTGTCAGTAACCGAAGCTGGTGGTCTCTCGGCTCGTGAAGAACTTACACTTGCTTGACCTGCTCATCAGTCATACTCAAACCGAGCTGCTCCACGCGAGACTTGATGGCATTCCATCCCTGATCATTATGTTAGCGAGGCCTCGGAAAATGTGTGGCTGGTAGAAGATGATCATACAGTAATTCTGCTGGAGAAGGACACGTATCGGTTCAACCCGAAATCTTCAGGCTTGATGATCTCATACGTTGAGGGGTTGTTCAAGATGGCCTATGAAGGAATCAGCATTTTGCATCAGCAATGGCATGCAGGCGAAGATCATGTACCTTGGCGTGGATGCCACTCTTGTGTGTAAAGGCACAGAATCCAGTCACGGGGTTGTTGAAGGGGATGTTCTAGTAACGGAATTAGCTTGCCTCCTATATATTATAGAATGCATGCCAGTCATCAGGGTTCTCGCGGAGATGCTGGAACAGCGGGTACTGAATCTGAGAGAGGGTACTTACAATCTGGACTGCATCGGCAACCAGAGTCTCAATCTCCTTGAGCTTCTCGAGCTTATAATGAGACTTGACGTAGTCGGGCGCTGTTACGATCATGCGCGCCATCAACCCACCCAGGGGGGTGATGCCATTTCGCTCGCCTGCATTTGATGTAAGTGTCTGCTCGAGGGTCCTTCGAAGGCGTCTCGGGCGAATGATTTCGGGGTGGATGGAGGATACTGACCGATTCCGAGCACTGAGGTATCCACGTGGGTTGCTCCAGCTTCCAGGGCAGCATGGGCGTTCGCAATAGCGCAACCTGGTCAACTGCGTCAGCACGCGAAACGGAAACATGGTCGTCACACTGTTCATACCGGTGTCGTTGTGGAAGTGCGTCTCGATGTCGCAATGGACAACACCTGGGGTTGTTAGTTCCTCTTCATCTCCGAATATCGGTGCATCTGCTTACCGCGAAGCGTACGAACAAGATCGTACACCATCCTAGGGGTAGCGCCGCCCTATTCGCCTTGTCAGACAATGGTCCCCCATACGGAGTCCCCATAAAGAAACTTACGACCGTGTCGGCAACACCGACCCTGTTGACGCCTGCGGCGTCCACAGCCTTGTAGAGGGTAAGGAGGTCGACGAGGTCGGAGCGGAAAGAGTCCTCCGACGAGAACCGGACCTCAACTCCTTGGCTGGTGATGCAAAGTCAGATTCTGTAGGGAGACAGCAATTTTCGAAGAACAGACCTCTTGACGTATTCGATTACCTCCAGCGCCGTCTTCTGAATGTAGACCATATCCTTGCCATGACTGAATTCTCTGTTGACTGGGTGTCAGCAACGTGCCCTTCAGGTAGGTCGACGAATACACTTACCTCAGGAAGCTCGATGTCCCGATTACCAAGTCCACACCGTCGACGCCCGTTCTAGATTTATGTTATTCTCTTGTCGTCTGACTCGCCAATTAAGACCAGATCTAGCTTGGGTCACTCACGCTACAGCTGCCTTGGCGTCCTCCATGTTGCACCGTACATCTGGAAAGTGTTAGGTCGAGCGGGAATACGTGAGTGGGGTAATCTCAGCAGGGTGTACGAACGGGTAAGGATCTTGGCCTGTAAAGTATCGATCGTTAGTATATTGTCAATGGATCTTTCAGTACAGCAGATGACGTACCTTGAGGCCCAGCCCGCAGATGGTCTTGCAGTCCTGGAAAGACTGCTCTGAGGCGACCGGAGAGGTCAATTCGATGTATTCGACCTAAATTCATCAGATTGAAACTTCCACATCAAACGAGAAAGGGAGAAACATACGCCGAACTCATCTAAAGCCTTGGCGCTACATGACATCTCTGTCAGCAACTCGTTTCAACGCTGGTGTTGAGGAGGGGTACTGAGCGTACATCTTGATCTTGGTCTCTGTGTCAAAGAAGGCATTCGCAAACTGCTCTCCTTCACGAAGAGTACTCTCAATGATCTTGAAGTTTCCGACATTGGAGAGGTAATCTTGGACAGACTGATATGGGGAGTTCTGCGGTCGTCCTTGGGAGGGGTGCTGAAAAGCGCCATTTGTGTTGTTGGCGCCGGCACGGTGGCCATTTGCATTTCCATCACAGGCTCCGCACATCGTTGTGGTTTTCTGCCGACGGTCTTGAGATTTCTTAGGTGGATTGACTTGGGTTGGAAATCATAGGGATTCGAGCACAAGGACTGGAGTCGGTTTGAGATCGGGTTTTCAGGGTTTTTCTTTTTTTTCTTTTTTATTGATTCGGATGGGGGGAAATCTAGGCCTTATCCATACATACGTAATTATCTTAAAAAAAAAAGTGCGGGGGGACTAGTCAGACTAGCCTAGATGAGTCATTCCGATGAGCGGAGTCATGTGACGCATCATCGGGAGCATTGCAGGGACCATGCGTCAGGTAACACACCATCGGTATGTGCAGAAATTATGTAATTATATATTAGTAATCTGCGATGTGGCTGCAAGCTTGACTCAATCCTGGCTTCAGCCACTCTTTCCAGAGTACACTCATATAGCCGTGCCGGATTTCGCGTTCTGATTCTGTTGTCGAGTGTGATCCAAAAGCCGTATCTATGGTACGTACTTGGCAGATGCTAGGGGCGCAACCCGTAGCGGCTGGCGCCGAAAGCCGGCCTCTTCGGCGGCGGGACCGTGGGACACGGCCGGTGGCTCACGCATTTACGACGTATTACTACATTGGTATCACATTCTATCACGTGAGCCACGGTATAGTGCTCTCCTATTAGTTAGAGGTGCCCCACTATCCTCGCTTAGAAGGTGGCAGATATATTTAGGACACGTATACCCGCCCTCTTTTTCTTTCTCTTTTATAGATAATATAATTATATATTTCCTAAATTAACGCTCCCTATAAGCACGCTCCTGTTAATTTAATAGTTATAAGCCCGGGTAGTGGCAGTAACCAGTAACTTCCTGCTAATCTATTATCTACGTTTATTTTTATATACTTCTATAGTATTACGGAGCCCTCCTATACTCTCTCTCCTAATAATAAGCTCTTATTTGCTAAACCCTTACTTAACACTATATCGAATAAGCTTAAGATTACGGCTAAAGCGCTTAGTATCCCGCGCCTTAAATCCATGCGGTAATAGGCCGATTAGATCTTCTATATCTAGTCGTATACGTAAAGGATAAAGGTCTAGGTATTACTCGATCCTAGCTAAAAGGATTAGCTAGATAACCGTCCTAAGTATATTATACCTAAATCCCTAGATTAACTACACGAATAGTATTCCTAAAGCGAGGGCGATAATACTATTATACTCTTAACGCAGGAGCTTATACGCCTCGCCGAAATCGAGAATTAGTAGACTATAGCCTAGAATTAAAAGCTCGGTCGCCTTATTAAGGCGCTCGATAAGACTAATTAACTACTTAAAACTATTATAAAGACTTTTACCTACTAATAGGCTATCGAAGAGGCTATTAAAAAATATCCCGGCTATAAAGAGAAAAAATAAAATTAATACTTTACGTTACGCTATATAATAAAAGAATTTAAGAGTAGCTTTACTCTAAGTAGTATTTATATAAAGGAAGAGGTAAGACGAGTATACGAAAAGTATCTATAAAACGCTTATCGAGCTAATACTAAAGTGGCTATATAGTATATAGAGTAGAATACCTTTATTAGACGCGTATATTAGTAAAAGGTAGCTAAGATTAAAGGACTTATTACTATTCGGAACTTCCTTATAGTAGTTAGATAGAAGTTTACGTCTATTTAGGCAGAAACTAAGCTTTAGGAGCTAGTAATAAAAGAGGTTTATAGCGACGAGATTTCCGATCTTCTAATATATGGCTATAAGTTTAACGCTATTATAAGCGCTCTAACTATAAATAAAACGCGCTATAATATTTACGCGACCCTAGGAGACCGCTTAAATAATAATAAAGGCGGAAAAAGCCTAAGAAGAAGAGTATTAATTACCCCTATTAACGCGAATATACTTAGAAGCTAGAGCACTATAATAAGCTAGAGTATACTTTAACTGGAAAATACGAGTAGAGATCTAATACCTACGTTAATAATAAGTGGTATAAGGAGATACGGAAGGAGATTAAGCTCCTAAAGTAGAAGAGCTTACGCGAAAAACTATCGAAAAAGGGATAAAAAAGCTCGGAGAGCGGCGGTAGTAAGGGAGATAGGTATCCTAGGAAGGTTATTATAACTATCCTGGATCCCGCCCTTATCTACACTATAGAAGAGGTTCTTAGGATCTACGCCGCGCTCCAACTAGGCCCTTACCCGCTCTTATAAAGCACTCTTCTTAATAATTACGGCGTAACTCACCTTATTAACTTAATCGACCTGCTTATTCTAAGTTCCTTTATTCCTATAAAGGATCTATCGAATCCGGTACTACCGACTTTCCGATTATTAGTAAAGGTAAACGGCTTTTTAAGGGAATCCTTAATAAACCTTTAGGTACTCCGAAAGCTAATTTAGAGCTTAACAATATAGTTATTATAAAGGGATTTTATACGAATATTATATTAGAAGTTTTATTATATAAGGTTAGGATCTAGTATTCGGGTTATAACTGCTTATTACGCTTTAGAATAGCGGAGAAGAGCGTGGTCTTATTAAAGCTGCTTCGACGCTTTAATATAACTATCCTTTAGGATAAGCTAATTTTATCTTCTTCTTCTTATTTATTATTCTAACTAATACTACATAGTATTATTCTGATTAATTACGACTATTAATATATATTAGTTATAGTAGTTGATCGACTAATAAGAGCTTACCGATATTACGAACCTTCCTACGACCCTGCTATGCCGAGTGTAACGGCTATACGATAAAGGTCTACAGAAGATATAAAGAATTAAAGATATATTCGGAAGAGATATAAGCTTATAGAGCTCTATAGTAGGGGCTGCTAATATGCCTCTGCTATCTGCTGACTTATCTAATAGCTATATATATAAACTAAGGTACCCTGCGTAGTAAATACCCCTCTCTAGAAATATAATCGTCCCGATTAGTATAATTAGATAAGAATTATCAAAGCTGTAATTGTTGTTTATTTTTTATATATATTAGTCCAATATATACTAGCCGTCTACGATTATATCGGATCCGGTATCTACGCTAATCCCTACGACTACGATTATATATTTAACTAGGTTCTAGACGGTGCCGGAGTTAGTTAAGCTATATTCGCGTTCTTTAGCACCTTGATCTCCGCCTATAACTATCCCACCTATTAGTTCACGTCTAGTAGAGACTTTTTCAGGGCTTCTAATACTTTTACTATAGTGTTATCTCGTATTTATAGTTATTATTTAACGTCGTCTAGATCTTATATTATCTTACTATCTTATACTTAGATCTAGTCCGCGATATCTACTAGTTCTCGATTAAGTCTGCCACTCTATATCTAAATTTTATCGTGGCAGTTAGAAAATTCCTTATACGTATTATCTTCTAACGTCTATATATTTTATCAGAGCTAATTAATCTATATTATTAATCTAGTTTCTATATTAACCAGGCTAATTATAGTTAGTATCTATTATTACGTTCCGGGCGTATATTACTATATAACTACGGTTATAGTTACTACGACTCCGTGTATAGTCTTCTGTTTTTTAGCAGGCGGCTAAGCAGTATTAGTTAGATCTAGTAATAGAAGTCTCTTCTAGTATCTATTACTAACTATATCGTTATGCTATTTAACGATCTCTACGATAATTATCTCTCTGTTAGGGAAATCTAGCTAATCTCCACCGACTTTACTATCCCGTAATATTAATATAATTATATAGTATATAGGGGCTTTTCCTTCTATCGTAATCTTACTCTATAGTCTGTCTGCTAGATTTATCGGATTAAAGAACATAGTTCCTATTAGCACATCCATATCGTAAATAAGTCTAGAGTCAATATATCTATTTTATCGTAATAGGGATATCCTATAGCTAATAGTACGGTCACTAAACCCGTCGTTATCGCTATATTTCTAGTCTACGTCGCGGTAGAGGGAGTTATCGTACCGCCCGTGGTAATAGTGATCGGAGTCGATATCGATATCGTCTATATTTACGTAGATATTACCTAACTCTATGCGTTCGCACTTTACTTATCCTTATATAGGTTATATCCCTTATCCCCGTATAATACTCTACCTGTATCCGTTATTACGAAACCGCTCTTTAATATCCTCTAACGTCTATCTTCTAACACCGATAAACCGTTTTAGTCTGCCTCCCTAAATCCTGGCTCCTCCTAATATCTAAAGTATACTATATCCGCCAACGCTTTTTTAAAAAGATATAAACCGCTTATATCGTCTAGCAGATAGTTATCCTCGTTAATACGCTTATACGCAGCCTCCTATTCCTTCTTTTATCCCGTCGCTTTTTCTTTCTTACTATTCAGATTTTTTCCATCTATCTAAAGGGTGTATACCACTTCCTAAGCCTCCTGCATATACGGGCTAAGTTTAGCTTTATTAATATCTCTTATTAAGTTAGCCAGTTTACCTTTATTCCCTCCGGTAATCGCCGCCTATATAGAATAGTATATAGCTATAACCCCCCTAGTCTATATAGTTTTTATCTATTACGTAGAGAGGAATAGTATTATATCGTAATACTACTCGTATATTCTATAATCTTTATAGAGATATTTAGCTAGCTTACACAGTTTTTAAATAGCTATTCGACTAGTATTAATAATTTTTAGTCTGTTATTATATATATCTAGGGAGTTACCCGCTAGATCTTACGAATCCACCACCACTGTCTAAGGTATATTTACGGATCCGGTGGTAAGGTTACTTTACGATATACTGTTCTAAGTGTTATCGATAAAAATAATAGTATATGGGATTATAGTGAATAAGAAAAAAAACTAATTTACTAGGAGTGAAAAGAAAATAAGGAGTAAGAATCGGTTCGTTAGTAAATTAAAGAGAAAGTGGAAAGAAGAAATAGAAATACAGAGCTTTTAAGAAAAGTGGCTATACCCGGCTTAGTATTTTCCTACCTATAATAGGAAATAAATAGTATTAAAAATAATACAATCTATAGGTGAGAAATATAGGGTTATACTCCTTATAGAAAGTGAAAAAGAAAGTGATATAAAGTCGGCTATATTATAATATACAGGTAAGGATAAAGAATATGTAAATAATTCGTTAAGATAATAAAGGTGAATAGGAGTCGTGTTATACCGATACGAATAAATAGAATTTATCGTCTTTTAAGTACGAATACTAAAAGGATTCGAT